GCTGGTGTTCACCAAATCTTTCAGACAGAACGAGTTCTGGAGCGCTCTTCTGGAAAAAGCGTATGCAAAGTAAGCAGAGCCTACTATTGTCCGCTGCATTAGTGGAGGCGTGGCAGCTCGCCACAATCCTCGCCCCCCGTGTGTTGCTGTGAATTCATTGCGTCTGGTTCAGATTTCTCCCCATCCAATGCAAAAAAGTTTGCCCGCGTGCCTGGGCCTGAGCCGTCAGTTCAAGCTTTTGTGCTAAAAAAAAAAAAAAAAGTTAAAGTCTGGTAACATGAACATGAAAAACGGGGCATATTGCTCACTCTTCATGCCTATTGATTTAAAATAACGTCAAACAAAGATGATTCACACGTGAGACCACCCCTGGCATTTCATTTCTAGAACTTAAACAAGTTTTAAGACCTAATACGGAACCACAGTTTATACGATCACTAATAGGTACACATTTCCCCCATCCTCCCATAGGGTGCACGGGTCTTACGAGGCACTGAAAGGGGGGAACACATTGGAAGCCATGGAGGATTTCACAGGTGGAGTTACGGAGTTCTTCGAGTTGCCCGAGGCGCCCAAAGAGCTCTACAAGATCATGAGGAAGGCGCTGGAGAGAGGCTCGCTGATGGGCTGCTCCATAGATGTGAGTGCGGGAGAAAATGGTCAAATAAAATAAAATAAAAAACTGTATGCAGTACAAATTAACACATCCCAGTCACTAACTGCGCATGTACCTGCACAAAAAAAAATGTTTTATTGTATGAGACAAGAAGCAACATAACTGACATCAGTTTCCACTTCTGCTGTGAGGAAGAGGTGGACGTCAGGGACAATAGGTATAAATTAAAAATAAGTGAATCCATGAATGAAAGCTGGACATTTTTTTTCTTTTTAACTTGATTTTAAGAAAACACGGTTTTAGCCGTCAAATCCAGAATAGATTACTGCATTCAAATGATGTTTTGGCAAGATGTATTGCCTAGAAAGCCAGTCTGTGTTTCGCTCTGACATATGTTGTATCTTTCAGGTTGTTTCAGCCAGTGAAATGGAGACCCGGACTGATCAGGGGCTGGTCAAAGGTCATGCTTACTCCATCACAGGCCTGGAGGAGGTACAGATTAATGTCCACTTTGTGTAAATGCAGATTTTTAGTTTTAGATTTTTGTTTTTTTGGAAGAGAAGGTGTTTAACAATAATGCAACTGTGTTGTTGAAGTGTTGTCTCCAGTGTGATGAGGTTGGAAAGGACACCAGAATTCGTCTGATTCGTTTGCGCAATCCCTGGGGTTGGGTGCTGTGGAAGGGACCGTGGTGTGCAAAGTAAGATTTGACCTGGAACAGACCAAGTCTTATAATATTTGCATATAATTCTGATATAGTCAAACAAAAAGGAGAATATTTGCAAACACTTCCCTGAATGACCAAGGTCTGGCTAAAAACACCTTATATACTGCTAGGCCAGATCAAATGCTGCACAATACCATGTAACTTAATGAGTTTGAGGTTGAGTTCTTCATGCAGTGGTGAACATACAGAATATTAACACGGTTTTATCTTTCCACAGTTCTAAGGAATGGTCGACTATTTCCAAAGGAGACAAGGAGAACCTGACAAAACAGACCATGGAGGCGAGTGAGTTCTGGTGAGTGAAACCTCTGCAACATTTAGTGTATTTCATCACACAGTTTTTGTCTTCGGTCTAATACTGAACCATGAAATTCATTTAACCATCAACAACAAGTTTCCAGTTTTTCAACATAATTAATTGGGATTCACCTAAAACCAAAATCCTCAAGAAGAACAAAATTTCACACAAGTTCTCAAGCTTCCCCTTTCATATTCCTCTCCAGGATGTGTTTTGATGATTTCAAGAGGAACTACACTAAGCTGGAGATGTGTAATCTGACCCCTGACACACTCCAGGGTGATGAAAGACAAAGCTGGACAGTGTCGATTAATCAGGGTCGCTGGGTGAGAGGCAGCTCTGCTGGCGGCTGCAGGAACTTCCCAGGTAGGCCTACCGTTTTGTATCGGCTTTTGTTTGTGCTTTTATGCCTTTTAAAAGCCAGTATCAAACCCTTTCTACTAAGTCTCATGTGGCTCATGTTTCTTTATTTAGGATGCTATCATATGACGCCAATATGCAGATTTACTTTTCTGTGTTTTACAGACACATTTTGGACGAACCCCCAGTATCGGATGCAGCTGTATGAGGAGGATGATGACCCAGAGGACGAACAGGTGGCCTGCACCGTTGTCGTGGCTCTGATGCAGAAAGGTCGAAGGATGCAACGCTATCAAGGGGCCAAGTTCCTCACCATCGGGTTTTCCATCTACGAGGTAGTGATCACACGACCCTAAAGCCCTGAGCTTTCCTCTGGTACGAATCAGCTGATGTGCATTCACTGGAGCTGAACTTCTTCTGTGTCTCTCTAGGTTCCAAAGGAGGTATGCCCGTCTTGGAGAAGGACGTTATTTTGATGAAGTCAGCGCTTTCCCTGTATTGACCTGTATCTCCACAGAGTTGTGTGTGTTGACTTTAGCAGGTCATGTAGTAATATAGTTGCTCAAGCTTTTGTGAAACCTCTAGGTAATCCTTACGACACAAGTCGAAATACTTTCCAATCTTTAAAAAAAAAAAAAAAAAGAGTTTGTTAATTTAATTTAGTCTACAAACTTTCAGAAAACAGGCTGATCAATGCTGATCACTACTTCCAAGACCACAATAGGACGTCTTTGAATTGCTTTATTTTGTCTGACTAACAGTCTAAAACTCAAAGATATTAAGTTTACAGTGCTATAAAACAGAGAGAAGCAGAAAATCGTCACATTTGAGAAGCCACAACGAGCAAATCTTTGAAGCTGATCGACAGTTAATTGATTATCCAAATAGTTTTTTGCTTTATTGCAAAAAAAAACTACTAAGTTTGGACTGTTTACATAAACACTTCAGCTGTGTTAAAGTAAATATGACCAGATAACCAGCATCCCTGTATCATCCATGACACCCATTATTTCTGCTTCACCTACATTTTCAAAATTGTCCTCGATTTTTTGGTCTATCAGCTAATTGATCGTTTAGCTCTAATAAAGACCTGATGCACCTTTGGGAAAATATAGTATCAGTAACATGTTTAACTCTCCCCTTCCCATCTCACCATCCTTATCTCACTATTTCCACACTTTCATTGTTTATTTTATTTTTCCGCCCGTAGATGCGTGGACAGAATGAGCACCTGCAGAAGGACTTCTTCCTGTACACGGCCTCCAAAGCTAAATGCAAGACCTACATTAATCTGCGAGAGGTAACAGCGCGTTTCCGCCTGCCCCCGGGAGAGTACGTCATCATCCCCACGACCTTCCAACCCCATCAAGATGGAGAGTTTATCCTCAGGGTCTTCTCTGAGAAGCAGAGCACGTCTGAGTAAGGATCACCGAGGGTGGGGCCATATTTGGGGGTACCGCTGATGTTATTTTTGGGTATTGTTGACAGCAAAATTGCTGAAATATAGCAAAGCCTTTAAATGAAGGCCATTATCAGTGCATAGCAGGAATCCCAATGTGTCTGTTTTTCCTCACAGGGAAGCGGAGGGAAGCGGGAACAACATCGGCTCTGGCCAAATGCAGGTTTGCAGCATGAATGACGAAGTCTTGGGATCAAAATATACTTTAATAATTGTGACCAGTGGTTAAATGACTCAAACCAGACGAGTAGGCTGACTTCTCGTGTCTACAACATTATGTTTAGCATGTGATAAAAAACAAAAACAAATGATTAAGCATGTCTTGGTGCTCCTGATGGACGAGTAGGCAATCTGCATGTGTCCACAAAAAAGGAGAATTAATTCCCCAATAAAGTCATAGCACATTGCTTTGTCAAGGTACACAAGTTAAAAGGCTACATAACAAAAACTAAACCAACGTACAGTATATGAACTCACTGGTCTTCCTCAGGATCAAACAGACTTCATACGTACTGCACATATTCCATCAACTTTGTTCTTGCACTCTCTCTGTCTTGTCCCAATGCATACTGTATGTTCACTCATTCTTTCCCACACAAGAGTTACTAACAGACTTGAATATCCACGTCTTTTCCTCTGTTAAATCTCATTTCATCCTTCTGTCCTTCCTTGTCTTATTGGCCCTTTATCAGCAAGACAAGATAAAGAAAGGAAAGGTAATGCATACATCTGGCAGTAGCATTAGTAGATTTGCTTTTAAACTCTTGCTTTCCCTCCCGGCTTCTCTCCATTATATGTCGGCTTTTAGCAATATTGGCAGTTCAAGCTTGAGCCATCATTGAATATACAGATTATAAGCAGTGGAATAACTATAAATTAACTCTCTCTTTTTTGTTCTGTTTGTCTTTTATAACCCCCTCTCTCCTCTTACCAACCACTGCCATTACCCACATGCCAGCCTATTGTATTTGTGTCAGACAGAGCACGTGCCAACAAGGAAATTGAGCATGACGGCATTCTGGGGGAAAAGAAGAAGAAACCCAAGGTAATCTCCTGCTGGAGCAGACTGCGTATAGATGGATTGTCACTTTTGAGCCAAAACATCAACACTGTAGCCACGCAACCAATTGCTCAACGTGACCTTTGCCCCATCGTAATTTCTGGAGACTGACGGCTCTGTAATGTAATCTTGACCAGGTCAAATAACATCACTGGGAATGAAACAATTGAGTTTGAGCCAAAAATGATCTCAAGTGGCTCAGCTGCACCTGTTTTCCTGTAAGGCCTCACAGGCCTATTTGATCATATGCTCTACTTCTCGTGTGCTGCTCTCCTTTGGTTCTGTGAGGAAATGCATCCTCTGGTAATAACACAACAAACTAAATGAGGCAATGAAATAACCCATCTAACATTTTAAATTAAATTGTCTTGAGATCACGTCTCTTACCAAATGAAGAATTGTTGAAATAAATGACAGCGCTGAGATTCAATGTATAACGATAAAAAAAAAATATATATATATATATATATATATATATATAATTTGGGCAATATTATTTTATAAACAGTTAAACTGTTAAAATAATCACTCTACTCTTTTGCTTTCAAAATCTGAAAAAAGTCAAATTTGCTGCATCTGCATACAGTATTACTGGTCAAAACTGGCTCTTTGACATCTGTTTCTCTATTAAAAAAAATATATTTTGAGAACAAAACAACAATAAACCAGCAACACTTGAAATTTGGAGAACTATGAAACAGGGTTAAAAACTAAACTGCAGTTAAGGCTAGCTGGAGTACGGTCACAGCTAGTCTTAGCTGAAGCTAATTGACCAGCTTTTAAAAAGCTGTTTCATGTAATTAAAAAATGTGTTCTGATGCCCAAACATCTTCATAATTTGGTTAGTTTCATCACAGAAATATGGCATTGCCTAAATGTAATGATAATGGAGAAAATAAGAAGCACCAGATGAACTAGTCCTGCTAATCCTGCTAAACTAATGATGCTGTTATGATGCTGCACAGTTTAAAAATGTATGCAGCTGTGATGCACTTTAGCCAAGAAGGCCTCAGACTTCAAACTTCTTTATATTTCAAAAATACTAACTAATTTCACAAACTCTTCAAAATAATTTTATAATCTTTTTTTGTCTGTCCTCCAGCGAAAACTGCTCCAACCTGAAGAAGAGACTGAGGAGGAAAAACAGTTCAGGGCCATTTATGAACAGATTGCTGGTGAGGTGAGTACCAGCGACATCGAGGACAACACAGGGTGAGCATGGTGTGTTTTTTTATTTTAAGCTGATATGAAACATGTTCCTTGTTCTTCCTGTCTCCAGGATATGCAGATCTGTGCCAACGAACTCAAGACGGTTATGAAGAATGTGCTTGCCAAACGTGAGTGCGCTGAAAAGCCCGGGATCATCACTGCAGTCATGTGTCATGTGGTGATCACTCACACCGACTTCTCCTTTTCCACAGATAGTGAAATAAAGACCACAGAAGGGTTCAGCCTTGAGACGTGTCGGAGTATGATCGCCTTGATGGATGTATCCTTTTAGTTGGTTTAAACTAAAGAAGTGTATGTATATAGGGAACAACAGGGAAGCCTCATGTTGCATCAGGAGGGTGCTGGTTTGAATCCCTCTAGCGATCTCCAGTTGCTCAGTGGAGCTGCCCAGTGGTAGAACAGGCAAACTATTCTTCCTAAATGATAAATGCAATTAGTTTAAATCAATAAGTCCAATTTTATGGAAGCCAAATTGTCATTCTTAACTCCACCAGCACTGGATAGCAACAAAATATGAAAAACACATATTGGCTATAAAACAACAACAACAAAACAATGATCTAGAGCTGAACCTGCACTGGGCAGCTTCCGTCTCAGATCTATTTCCTCCCTGTCTAGCGATGCCTCATTTTTAATCAGATGGTAGAAAAAACCTCAGAGGTTAGATCACCAATTTTCCTTTAAGAGAAAAAGTACTGGGGAAAAAAATCCAATTCAAAATGGCTTAACACGCAGTGCTGTATGTTGGCCTTTCTATAACTGAACTTTTCTCAGACTGATGGGACAGGAAAGCTGAACCTGCAGGAGTTCAAGCACCTGTGGAAAAAGATCAAGGAGTGGCAGGTTGGGCGGTTTTAGCCACCTTCTGCTCACATTTAATTTTTACAAAACCAAAAGTTTTCATCTCATCTGATCTGATTGTCAAGTGTCTTTGTGTTTGTGTTTGCAGCTGATCTTCAAGCGTTATGATAAAGACAAATCCTCCTCCATCAGTAGTTTTGAGATGAGGAACGCTGTTAATGATGCAGGTGAGCTGCTGCATGACAGAAATAAGTAAGATTTAACCACTCAAAGGATGTTTCTCTGTGCACAACCGTGTATTTACATCTTAGATTCCATGCTAAAAAAACATCAATTAAACATTTGTATTATTTGTATCAAACAGATGACACTGGTAATACTTAGTCAGGTGCAGTATCATTCAGTGATTAGCAGATATATTATACTTCACATCCCTTACTACCCAGCCTCTTGTAACTATGAAATAATGTGTAACGCCATGAATCGTGACTTTCTATTTCATTCTTTCCACACGAAGGGTTTCACCTCAGAAAACAGCTATATGACATCTTAGCGATGCGCTACGCCGACGAACACCTCAATATCGACTTTGACAGTTACATCTGCTGTTTTGTGCGGCTAGAGGGCATGTTCAGTAAGTACCATGAGCTTGTGCATCTTGAATTTTGATATTCTGCTATCGTATGTCGCCAGGAAGCTTTGTCGACCAAAAAAATATCTGACACAGCTCGGCCCAATCACACGAGTTCAAGGTTTACATAAAGAGTCTCTTGTGTGTCTCGCAGGGGCTTTCAATGCCTTTGACAAAGACGGAGATGGGATCATCAAACTGAACGTGCTAGAGGTAAGTCAGCCATCTTGATATGTTGCTTTGTTTTAGTCCACGTTCATACTTCAGTGCATGTGGCATTACTTAAATTTGCTGTGTGGTTAATGAAAGCTTTTAAACAGCTCTGTAATGAAAGGCTGTTGTTGTTGATTATGGTCTGAGGGAGCAGAAAAATAGAAACATCCGTCGCCCTGTAATAAAACTAATTTACTACCAATGTTCAGTTTTTTTTGAGAGTGACATTTTGACCCCTTCAGCCAAAAACTTATAATCGATTAGTTGATCAACAGAAAATGAATCGTCAACAATTTTGATACTAATAATTGTTTAAGTCATTTATTAAGGAAAGTTAAGGATTTGCTGCTCTTCTCTTTCTATATATCACTGTATATGAAATATTTTTGGACAGTTGGTCAGGTGACACAAGAAATTTGACAATATTATCTTGAGCTCCCAAATCTACCGTCTCAAAAAACTGAATGCAACTCTGATGCAATCACGTTTTACAAAAGGCAGAATTAATGCTGTTGTCTTGGGCAGCATTGCAACCTTCAGAGTATAATGTATTATTAGTCAATGTTCAAAAAGAAACCTTTTATTCTCGTCTTCATTTTTCTTCTCTTCTCTTTGCAGTGGCTTCAGCTGACCATGTACTCTTAGGTCGCCTTCGTGACCCCTGATGTTGCTGCAGACAGTCGCTGCTCGAGTCCATGACACCGACCTTAACTCTCCTGGACAGTTACTTAATTTTTCTTAAGCATTGCTGAACAAAATGTATTTTTGCACAGGTTGTGATTACAACAAAGTCTTTGACGTCAACATCATTCAATCCAATGATGTGAACATGTTCTCTTCCAAGTGTGGAGTTTGCCTTTGTTGCCAAAGTTAGTTAATATGTTGTAAACAATATGCGGTTGGCATTGCAAAGCTACAACTATCAGCGCTAAAACAAAGACATGTCTGAATGTGAGCACTCAGTGAATGAGCATTTTGTTTGACACGTCTTTACAGAAATACTTAATATATATTGTTTTTTAAATATGTTGGAGGTGAACACTGAAAATGACATTTGTCTTTTTATTGCTGTACACATACAGTAGATTAATTACAAATGAAATACTTACTGTACAGTATAACATACAAAAAAAAAATAACTTAAGATAACTTAATACAGCATCATACAAGTTAATCTCTGGACAATTTGGTCTGACCAGTTTCACTGCTTTTTTTCATTATCCAGAGAGTTTTCAAAAATGTGTTGTCCAAAGTGACGTCTGGGAATTAGGACATTTCCTACAATAAATCTCTCGGAAACGTGAAAATGTAAATGTTATGAAATAATAATAATAACGATAACTTATATATTACATTATGCAAAATGTTTTAATAACCAAACATTAGTCTTGACGAATCATTTTCAAAGGTCAAGTGATAATAATCCGGAATAACAGAGTCATCCAAAAAAAGACCTTTACAATGACTCTCAAGTGTGCAGATGCATGGTATCGCACACTCTAAGGTCACTCGAGAAAGACGCTTAAGCGGCATTCCTTCTTTTGCTTTTACCTAAAAAGACTCGGACGAGACTACAACCTGCAACCTCCAATTTAGAGCCACTCATCAATACACAGCTGAAGAACAAGATGGATTTTAAAGGCAATTTACAGCATCAGCTGCTTCACAAAAACTACTCTCAGGTGTTTCTATGAGTGCTGCATAGTTGTAGAAATGCTCTGAATGATTAGCTTTACATATGACATTGCCAGGTCGTGTGTTCACAGTGACAACAAAAAAAAAAACATGTCGATCAAATGATGCCAAAGAAGTAGAAGTAGTAGTAATGAATTATTTTAGCCATCAAGTAAAGCCTAATTACTTTGAACTGAAAGCAAACAGATGGCTGTAAATAATGAAACTGATCCTCTAAACAGGACAACATCGTGTATGTTCATTAGAGACTGAATGAGGCACAGAATGGTGTCGAGCAAAAGCACAAATGTGTCTTTTTTTGCGGTTTGACACAGAACGTTTCAGTCGCTTTAAAAAAACACAAACACGAAGTATAACCAGCAAAAAAAAAAAAACAAAAAAAACAAACTGAGATGGCAACAACAGCTTCAGGGGATCGATAACAAGCAGCCGCTCTTGTCTCACTGTCACAGTTCAGAGAGCGCGGAGGTGATACAGTACGCACAAGACCAAAAGAGACGTCATCAGAGACTCAGACGCGCACAGGGAAAAACGAACAGAAACCGAGTGTCCGCAAAACAGACGACGCTGAAACAACTTGGAAATAAAAAAGTAAGCTTTTATGTTGTAATGGATGAAACTCCATCCTGATCTGCTGCATCACATTACCTCCATCCCAGTCACGGCTCAATCTTACTGTCATTCTCCACGTGGCTCTGCATGTGTTCAGGCAGCTTCTGCAGGAAGCAAAAAAAAAAAAACAAAAAACACCAGACTGAGGAACTGCTCTCACAGAAAGTGGCAGTTATCATTCAGTGTTCAAACCCGCTCAACAACTTGTCAACTGGTGTGAGAATCCCTCATGTTTATAACAAAGCAATTAGTGAGATGATGAAAATTAGTTATGAGAACATATGAGTTAGCTAATGGATTAACAGAAATTATGACTTAAATATAGCACCAGTTCATTACCTGCCGAACTAACTGTTGCGTGGCGAAAAAAGTGTCGCAGCTTCTCCAGCGACATTTGACCGTCTGCAGATTCCGGTTGCTGTGATCTCCAACAAGGTGCTGCACAAGATGCTCCGCCATGCCGAATATTAGAGAGCAGTTCTGCCACTGGACGACAACAGACACAAGCCAATTAGAAAAAGTAACAAATCTTATAATCGTTAAGTATCTTCAAAAAGAACAAGTGGATTAGAGTGAATTCACTCTCTCTAACGGAGCTGGGTTCTTACCCAGCAGCGGTGGTTCTTCATCAAGTTGAGCTTCACTGCTTGAACGCTGCCGTCGTAACAGCCTGTGTAGATCTGTGTGGGACAAAACAATGGCAAATGAAGCCACAGGGTTAAAATGAACTTAACCATTCAGCGAGAGCGTCTGTCATGCAGGTTTAGATTCAAACAAAGATGGTTAAACCAATTTCAGTCTGCTCACCACACTCTTATGAACAGCCATGCACATCACCATATCGCTGTGACCCCCGTACACCTGCAGGCGGTCATGGGACTAGAAATAAAAATGATAAATACTTTATACTTACTACTTTTTTTTTTTTTTTTCTTTTTTTTTTTAAAGAAGAATATCTAAACAAAATATTACAACATGTGCAGGTTTCAGAAAAGTCAAATTTGAGATGAAGTGAATATACAAGAAGTAAAATACAGAATTCAAGAAACAAACCTGGAGCTCATAAACTCGGACCAGCTTATCCAGACAGGCTGTCACCATCACTTTCCCCAAGATGACGATTGAGGTGACGGCGTGACTGTGACCCTTGTAGATACGAACCAACTCACCCGTCTACAAGTAAAAAATATGGTGAAAGCACAAGCACGAAGAATAAACAGCAAAAATAAAAAACTGAGAGAGAGTACTGGCATTAATCAAAATTTAAATGTGTTTTATTATGACCAACATTTCATTCAGTTTTATTACATAGAGGAACTAGAATTACCGCCTCGCGGTTGTATGCCTCCGCCACTCAGACTAGTTTCCGGTTACATCCCTGTTTATCCACTAGTGTCGTATAAAGAGTCAAATAAAATATTAACCATTTGTGTGAAATTTGCCATTTGCATTTTTGTTCATAATTGCTGTGTGAAGTCTTTAGTAATGGCTCAAAAGTTAAGTTTAGTGAGGTCACCATGCCCGTGACCTTTGACCCATGAAATCTAATCAGTTCATCCTTGAGTCTGAGTGAATGTTTTTGCCAAATTTCCATTTCCAAGTTCCATCAAGGCGTTTCTGAGACATCGTGAGAATATTGAGAATGGGACGAACGGACGTACGTACGGACAACCCGAAAGAAACGTGCCTCCGGCTCTGCTCGGCACGGAGGCATAAAAATAAAATACACTTACATGGATGTTGTGGGCATGAACAGTTGTGTCACTAGAGCCGCTGAACACCAGGTCGTTCACAACCTAAATACAAAAAGGCAAGTATTATTATTATTGCTCCTGATAATAATAATATTGATAATTACTCCTGATGGTAATCATTTCTTCAACTAGTCCCCATCTGATCACATGACCATCTACAAGAAACACAGTAACCAGACTTTTTAAAATATGAGTCAAAATGCAGCAGTTTACTCCGTCATTTAAAAAGAGCGAGAATGTGTTGGTGTGTAAAGGTCACGTTGATCATGTCTGAGAATCAGCTGCAAACACTGAAATCTGAATTTTTAGCCTGACGTGAAGATGAAAGTTTTATCATCAGAATCAGCATCAAATAACCTTTTCAATTCTGGTCCGAGTCACACGGGTACGCGGTACAAAATCCCATCGCTAGACATGTAACTGAACAAATATTCAGCTTACATTTTAAGTTCAACAGTTTCAGTGTGAAGAATTGGCTTCATTCCCTCACCTTCATGCAGAGCACAGTTTTGGTGTGGCCCTGCAGTGAGCGCAGCAGCAGGCCGCTCTTGGCGTCTCGTACGCTGATGGTGCTGTCGTAGGAGCCGACCAGGAGCACCCGGCGGGCGCCCTCCTGCGCCGTGCTCAGACAGCTCACCCCTCGTGGGCCGTGGCACTCAAACACATCCAGCTGCTTCATAGTCTAATGAAAGAGAGATATGAGGTGTAAAATTTAATTTGAAGAAATCTAATTACTCTGGCAGAGCAAGTCGAGAAATCAGTGGCCACATTTACAGATCTGGAGACTTGTCCCAGGTCTACACATGAAAACACATAATCTGACCAAAATCAACACAGTTAAGGTGGTTGGCATGCGTGAGTACATTAAATGTCTGACTCATGGTATTGGATTTATGACCCATTGTCACTCACCTTTAAGTCATAGCTAGCAACTGCTCCATTGGCGAGCCCGGCGTACAAAATATTCCAGGCTATGTGCAAACACAACACTCTGTCTGGCAAAGAAATCTGCTCCAGACACTTCTTAGACTAGGAGGAGGGAGGAGGGAGGAGGAGGAGGAGGAGGAGGAGGAGGAGGAGGAGGAGGAGGAGGAGGAGATAAATCACAAAATAAAAAGAAATTGCAACATCAGTGCAACTCACAAAATAGGAGACAGCAAAAACCCTTACAGACATGGTTTAAAGTACGATGGTTACATTAGTAATTCAGCAAGTCGATCTGATAAACGGTCAATGTGACAAATTCATAATAACAACAAAAGCAGAGTAAAGCAGTAATTATGAAAGTATGTATTAAGTAAAACTAGAATTACAGCCTTGAGGTTGTATGCCTCTGCCAACCAGTCCAGTTGCAGTTTACATGCATGTTTGTGGTTATGGCCAAAAAATGTGTTTTGTGCAGTCACAGTGACCTTTGACCTTTGACCACCATCATTTCATCTTTGAGCCCAAGTGAATAAACTTGAAGACATTCCCTCAAGGTGTTCTAGAGATATCACGTTCAGACGGTTTGTACCTTTATGCTGTAACAGCGGATGGTCTCGTCACTTGATCCGGTGTAGAGGCGTGCCTGCATGTTCGGGAGGGACGACACCAGCAGACAGTTGATTTTGTTTCTGTGACCCTCAAACACGGCTTGGCACTCCCTGTTCTGGATATAGAGAGACAAAATATATAGCTGGTTATTTTATTGTTCTCCATTTTTATTTTTAAAGATAAAACCTAAGAAACCCAAACAAAGTCCAAACACTGGCAAGATTCATACGGATGCCTGATGAAGGTCTGAGTGTTAATAAAGTGAGTTTGAGTTTAAGTGATGGATGCTGTGCTTCTTTGGTTTCCAATACTAGGCATATGTCACTCAAACTTCATGGTATACAAGAGCTTTTTGGACTAAACTGGATTGGGACTCAACTCAAAAAGCGGCTGTGAGAGTCTGACAGAAGTGTATGTCCTGGACCCTGAACAACTTACCGTCAGACTGTAGGCTCTTGCTGTGTTGTCCCCTGAACAAGTGTACAACAGGCCCTGGTGGACTTGCAGGCCGTGGACGGGGCCGGCGTGATTCATAAAGGCTCCTAAGGACGACTCTTCATCCTCAACAGACTCTGGAATAACACATTTTTTCCAAAAACTATCTGCCTTTGTATCTCCACTTGCTACATTTGTTTCAAGGAGGAGGGAGGTGACTCACCTGCGGGAGCGTTGGCATTTTCGACTGGCAAAGGAGGCTGAACTTTTCTGAGGGGGTCAAGAGAAAAAGGTTGGTCACATGTCACATTTACTTATCTTAATCTGCAGATAAAGCATCCCTGTAATATTCAAGGGCTCCCTACCCTGACGGGATCCCAAGAATGGATCTCACCTGTCAGTGTCGTTCTGCTGAGACGTCAGTTTGCTTGCAGAAGTCAACTCCACGCTGGCAGACTGCTGAGGAGGCTCGGGGTGAACTGGAGTATTGGAGACGATCTCAGGTGAGTCCTCATTGTCCGACTCGTCAATGTCAATAACAACTAGGTTAGAGGTCTCTATCATTTCAACGGAGTCATCGCTCTCGTTCCCGTTGTCGGCAGCTGATGCGGCAGCTGATGAATTTTGAACACGCTCCTCTGCTGCAGACTCTCTTCCTTGTTCCTTGCGAAGATTTCCTCCCGTCTCTTCCTCAGAGTCACTGTCAACTGTCTGCGCTACCTCCTCTGCTAACCTCACTGTCTTTACACAGTCCTTTAACCCCTCCTTTGTCTTTTGCTCCTTCTGAACGGCATATGATTCAGGAGAAAGAAGTGGCGTGGAAGCGGCAGCAGCAGCGGCAGCGGTGGCAGCAGCAGCAGAAGCAGCAGGTGTGGGAGCAGCTAAGTGTGGTGGTCTGAGCAGCAGTGTGGAGAGCAGATCAGGTGGAAACAAGGGCACAGGTTGATTCAGGGCTGCGTGAGGTGCGACAGTGTTAGAGGAGACAAACTGACTGGCCTGTGCAGCTGTGGGCGGAAGACAGAGGGGGATCAGGTGAGGTTGGTTGACAGAAGACGCTGAGGTTGTGGCCGGTGTTTGCTGGCTGGAGGACGTTGTGAAGGCACGAGAAGAAGGAAGGGGAGGTTGTCCTGGTTGCACAGCTGTAACGACCCGTGCTGAAGAGGTGGTGGCTTTCTCTGCTACATTAGATGATCCCGAGTACCCCTCTGAAAAAGATTAAGAAACTACTGTTAATCACCTACTAAACCGTTCGGAGCACAAGGTTTCCATGCGAGTGTGATCTGTACCTTGCATCCCCTGCAGGATCTCAATGCGCCTGGCTCTCAGACTGTTGACCTCAGCAGTGAACTACAACAGCAGAAGAAGTATTTAATGTAAACCTATGAATGGAAATGTATAATTTAACTTTCCCTTCATTAGTAATATTTTCTTCATTAGTGGCAGTACCTGCTGTTTCAACAGCAGGAGTCTTTGGACTTCTGTGTAGGCGGCTTGCAGGGCGTTGCGAGCCTGGACCAGAGATTTGTCCAAATCCTGTAGCGAATGGCTCAGCTCGTCCTCCCTCAGAGACACCGCCAACAGCTGGTCCATCTGATCCTGGTCTACAAGGGAACAATAGGCTGGGATTAATCGGACCACATCTGGAGACACTCTACAACACTACTGAAAAGTTGAGTTCTCTAAATGACAATACAGCTTTAACTGTCTTAAAATGTTAAAAAAAAAAATGCCTGCCACACACTGTTAGTTAGCTAAGACATACATTTCAAAATGAAAAGAGTAATGGCCGCTTCCATCAGCCTTGAACAGGTTGTGATTACACATTATAGTGCACTTATTTCTATTTTGGTATTAGTAACAGTAATAGCAGTCTTATAAATGATACAGTACAGAAAATATCAGAATTACCCTTGTTTGACTTTGTTCTCTTCTTTTTTCCACTCGACTCCTTGTCAAAAATACCATCATCCTGTAAAAATACACGATAAATTAATGGGGAACTGGATGTTTCCAGCTTTTTTGCTGAAATCAACAACACACCACTCACTGTGTTGTGTCTCCTTTTGTTGCCACTACTGTTGTCTCTCAAACCTCCATTCTCATCCTCTAGGTTTGGTTCCTTTTTCACATATTCTGCTGTAACTGGGTGACAGCTCCCACCCTGCTGTGGAGTAGCAGGCTCCTGCATCCGAGAACCTGACTGTATCTCCTTGTGGGAGTCAGCAGTATCTGTCATCTCCTGGGGAGGAGGGGGTAATGTCAAGTTTGGCACTGAAGGACAGCCTGGAATCGATTCCCAGTGGAAGCCCTCAGACAGAGGCAAGTCAATGTCCTGTGGTTGTGTTGAGCTTTCTTGGTCAGTCGGAGGGTTCGCCAACACGATTCCAAACCTGGGCATGCCTTTGACCTTGTCCCGGTTCTTCCTCTGCATTTCATTGTACATCTCCCTCAAGCTCAGCTTACTCTTGGCTCCTGATAAGGCGAGCAAATTGTTCAGGGTTGGTTTAAGTCTGGCCTCCTTCCCCCCCTGAGTTTTGCCTGATTCATGGGCAATACGAATCCTGTGGCCGAGATTCAGGTTGGGCTCATTGGATGTCGTCTTGCTCGAGTGAGTTGACGCTGGGCTGTCGAGGGCCTCCTGTGATTCTCTTTCTCTGCTTTTTGTCAGTCCATGCACAACACCTAACCTCTGATTCGTTTCTTGTGTCATTTTGATGGTTGTCTGTTTTGATTTAGCAGGAGTAATATTGGAAGGATAAACACCAGAATGGGCTGCAGGCGCGGGGCTGCCGACCTGAAGATATTGCACAGATGTAGCTGCAGCACCTGGCGGGTGCTCTTTCTCAGTCCCAGCCTGCTGTGTGGTGCTACGATCAGCCACCTGGGTGCCTGCGTCACTGCTCTGCTTCCTGGCTTCACGGTCCGCTCTACACGGCTCCCTCACACCCAGTGCTCTTCTGATTTGCCTCAGCATCGCACTGACGTGGACGTCCCGTATAGGAGATGCACTGACGGATGCGTTTGCTGGAGCAGGATTAGCGGAACAATGTGAACCTTCTTGTCCTGGCTGAGAGGATCCGCTACTTTCATTCTGCTGATGATCAAAGATGAAGGCTCCATTGTTAGAGATGTGATCACTGGTGAAGTCTATTGCACTATTGTACTGCCTGTTGTAATAGGTATACTGGTTGACAGCAGGCCACGTAATTTCCTGTGGCATGTCAGTGGCGGCACCTTCTCGGGTGTAGTGTGGTCCGTTAACCGGTCTCTCTGTGTGAGAGCGCTCCACTTTAACACTGCTGCACTGATTGTTGACAGGAAAGTTGGCACCATACCTCATTTGTTGATTTGATTGGGTGAACTGGTCTCGAACACAAGGCTGATGCAAAGTTCTACCGGGAGGCTCTCCCGGCACACCAGCCACCCAAGCTGTTTCTCTTTCGTGAAGAGGCCTTTGCAGACTGGACACTTTGTTCTCCTTGTTCTGGACAACAGCATTGTTGCTTCCTGTCTGGTGGGTTACCTGTACCATCATCCTTGTGTTCACTTGTTTGGTTTTTTCCACCCTCAATACTTTGGATGCCACTTTGTTTTGTCGGGTGCCTCCCTGGAGCATTTCGTCACGTTTCTGACCGGCTGTCTGCTTCAGTTTCTTTTTCTTCTTTTCCTTTAGTTTCCTCCTGTGATGGAAATGGACATAGTCATTGAAATGCAGTATTTCAAATTCAACAACATATTACATTGTAGAAAATAAAATGCAAAATTTAATATTATCATTTTTGAATCAACAAATAAACTGGTGAAATTCTTACTCCTTCTTCATTAGTGTCTTGTTTCTCTCCTTAATTCGGTTGATGGTCTCTTTGCTCAGGGTTGTAAACAGGGAAAGGGGCCTTGAATGTTTAAATATCAAGCTCTTCAACTTGGCTTTGTGTTGAGCGGTGGAGATGTGCTGGGCGTACTCATGTAAACCCATGGAGAATACCTCACACGCCTGACATTCATGAAATGAATCCCTGTTCATTAAAAGGACACAAAAACAGAGGACATTTTTGTCAGATTTAAGTTGATATTCGAATCTCTGCTTGGAATTCAAGCAACTGATTTTAGATCAAAACAAAAAAAATTGTTCCCATGACAGTTGTGATTTTTTTTTTTTGATGCAGTACAATATTTTAAAAAACAAACAATATTTTTTGGTTTCTTACTTTAGGAATATAAACATGCTTTTCCACACACTCATTTTTGTTACTCCTCTCACATGTTATAACACAAGCAACTGTACAAGAACTTTATCCAAAACTGGCTAAAGAACCAGTAGTTGACAGTAGATTTCAGAACTTGAAAAACTAAAAGTCTTTAAAACTGTATTGAGATTTGAGATCCAGCCACAGGGAATACTCCTGCTGAGGATTCGACTCTTGACATATGTTGTGCATGAAGTGCCGTCCTTCTTTTCTCTCAAAGTTTTCTCAGCTCATACTATGTCTCAAGTGCATTATGTAGATTCTATAATACTTTTTTGGTATTCGACAAATATTACTCACTTGCCCAGCACTGTCTCCAGCTCTTGGTGATGCAGCATACTATGCATGTGTTCCTGTGCTTCCTGTAATTAAGAGACATATTGTCATGATTATAGATTATTTGTAAAGGCTGCACTGCTGCTACTTGTGTAAACATATTGGTAAAATTACTTACATAGCGTAGACACTTCCGGCGACACAAAATACAGTAGAAAGATTTTTTCCTCTTGCGGACTCGTTGTTTGTAGCCCTTGTTCTTCACAGGGGGTTTATCCACCATCTCCTGTGAGGTATGAACCGTTGCCATTTCTTTGAAACAAGAACAAATATATAAACAAAGCTGTGCACTAGCATTGAATGCAGAACAAACAAAGCTTTAGTCCAATGTGTCAACAGCATCATATCGTCACAGAATAAAGACTGTGGCAAACAGAGTGTAGACTTTTGGTGACATTTGGAGACGTTATATCCAATAAATCACTGCAAACATCAAGTCCAAACTTAAAACAGCAGCACAACGTGCTCAGACCTAGCCAGCACCCACTGAGAGGTTGACCCAACAGTTGCAGATCAACGTTGCCTGCGTTACAGTTACCACAAGCCGTTGGGCAAAGTTAACGGCATTTAGATAAATTCTTAACTGATTCTTTTGTGCACAATATTAGGTTTAAACTATAAAGTGATCATAACTACCGGACGAATCTCACATGGCTACGGGACTCCACTGCTGTTAGACCGCCATGTTTGCCTACGTATATTGTGTCAAGTGTACGTCGCCCAATCGTTTCGACGGCGGCTGGTTTTCGTAGATCTACAAAAACATGGGCGCGGAGCGGACAGTGGCCTTGTCTGCGACGTCCGGGAGTGAGGATGTTTTACAGCTCTAATGAGCCACAGGGGCCACCGTTCAGTGCGGAAGAGGAGGTTGTTGCTAAAAAAAAAAATACTTAGCTGTTTGTTCGCTGTTTACAGTGTGTTATCGTTATCGTTAAAAAAGTTACAAATTAAAATGTGCAATGGCTGTGTACAAAAAGAATACCCGGACCGGGTAAGTTGTGGCCACTGAGAGACCTACTGCTCGTTTTGACGTACAAATGCTACTAGTAAATGTGTAGCTACCAACGTTATAGTTAGCTATAGTTAATCCAGACTCAGGTTAAGCAACCCCCTCAAACAGTGATGCTATGGCATAACGTTGACGATGCCTTTGAGAGAGAAAATGAGATAAATATGATTTACATCTTGGTATGTATGTAACTTGCAGTGCAATTTGTTTTACATCTCCCGTTCGCTTCTTTTCTATTTCTTATATTGGTTATGCCACTCAGAGTTTTGCTCTGCAAGTGTCCAGGATTTTCTATCAGTGTAGTCGTAACTGTTTCTATAATGACTTGCCCACTCCTTCAAGTGGCCCTCAAAATAAACCCACCTCCCTTCACGATGGTTACGGTGTCCGTTTGTGTTGAAACTGTTTCAGAGAAGTGTTGATTCAGCTTTATTGTCGTTTTGGAGGCTACAGTTTGTGGCGTGTTGAACTGAATTGCATTATATGCTGACAGGTGATTCTATTTTTTTGTTTTAAACTAAAATAAGTTTTTCCTTTGACTTCCTGCTCAGGGGAACACCTGTCTGGAGAATGGCTCATACCTGATGAACTACCTGGGCTGTGCCAGCTGCCATCAGAGGGACTTTGTGTTGATCAGTAATAAAGCCACGGAGGATGACGATGGAGAGGAGATCGTCACATATGACCGTTAGTCACTCTTCTGGTGCCCCAGCTAGAGAAGACAACCAATGGATTACAGCACTGACATTTTACAGACCAGTTTTCATTCTAGTAGAACCACCAGACAATGAACTCTAGGGACATGATCGTAAAAATGTAAACAGTAATTATGGCATGTGCAAAAGGTTTGAGCCCTATTATGTCCTCCTTTGGTGGATATCACAGCTTCAGAGATATTTGTAGGCTGTCTTGCACACATATTGTGTAAGATCTACCCACGACATGCTATGGCAGCTGTTAGCACTGGTGCCTCATAGCAAGAATTTTCTGAGTTCAAACCTCGTGGCTGGGAAAAAGAGCTTGACTGGTCTGCTCAGAGCCCTGGCCTTAACTCCATGCAATACCTTTTGGCATGAACTGGAACACAAACCAGTTTTCACCAGTGCTCTTGTAGATGAACAGGAGCAAATCCCTGCAGCCAGGCTTCACTTCCACTCTCATGGAAAGTCTTTAGAGAAGAACAGAGGTTGTTGCAGCAGCTTATTGATGGCAACAGTTTTGCAAGGAGAAGTTCAACAGTCACATATGGGTGTAAAGCATCCACATAATTTCGGAAATATATTGAATTTTATCTCTTTCCAAAATGAGACTAGACTTTGATTTGTTCGTAACTGCTTAAAAATATTTCACTAATGTCCATTTGTCCTTCCAGATGTTTGTAAAAACTGCGACCATGTCATCGCCAGACATGAATATACTTTCTCCGTTGTTGATGAATATCAGGTTAGTAATGTTGTGTGGCTTATTTACCATAGCTAAGTAGATTCTTATGTGTGAAAAATACTTATAGATAATAAGCCGGCTATCTATTGCAACAGTATTCATGCTTAGGTGTTGCCACTGTATAAGCTTTTAATATGTATATTAAGTCTGTTTTGTGTTGTCCAGGAGTACACTATGCTCTGCATGCTGTGTGGAAAGGCAGAGGACTCCATCAGTGTGTTACCAGACGACCCCAGACAGTCTGCTCCTCTCTTCTAGGCCTCAAACGACACCAAACCTGCAAGTCATTGCTCACTTTTTAGATCGACTAACCCCACCATAGATGTGCGGCTGGCTCCTCGCCTCAGGGTTCCAACCATTTTTATCGTCCATTCAATATTTTATGTTTATTCTTCATTATGTTTTTGGCTGTTCATGAACCACTGTATTCTTATAGCAGTTGAGCAGGAAATATAACTTTTTTAATGACAAATACAAACATTCTGTATGTCAACTGACCATGAACTGTAAATAAACTGTTTTTTTTCACCACTAAGAGTTTTACAACCCTCTGCATTTCACTTCTCCTCGACTCAAAATGGCTGATGTTACAATGTCGGAGTGATAAAATTAGGGAACCAACAATGCAGCTACAGAAATTAGAAATTAGCCATTTTCTTTTCACAAATGGCTATAATTTCACCAAAATTGTTAAAAAATATATATATTCATCTGCTCATAAGGTCAGTGGCTATTTATTTTCCCAAATAGCTTGTCCCAAAATAGTCTGGCTCATAGCCACCAAACAGTTTGTTTTTGTTTTGATTATGTTCAGCTGTGTGAGCCCAGAGATGCTACTGCCCTAAGTTCATTCTAGACTGTGGAAACTGCAGTTTACAAAAACAATCTCACCACAAGGTCAAAAATAAACTTCGACACTTTAAAGGCTTCTCATTTAGGTTCAGCCAACCAAAATGAGAAGCCTTTAAAGTGCTCTGAAAAAATGGCCATTTTAAAATCTACACTGCATTTCCTCATCAACTTGACAAACTGAGGAAGACTGTGTGACAGCTGGGCTAACTGTGAGATTGTTTGAACACTGAGGAACCTGGTTAATGTAGAAAAGGTTTATCAGTGAAGTCAGTGTAGCAAGAAAACCCAAGGATAATTAATCATCCCTTCATTTAAAAGATTTTAGAGCATAATCCTGATTAGATTCCATCCGTGTTTGCCCATGTTCACACATTCTTTAACTTTCTGTCACTTGCTCTGGCAAACAGCTGGTTAGACATTGTCTTCCTTCACATTTTAAATCTCAGTGACCACAACAGATGGAGGAGTCTTCATTTCATTGAGGTTGTCATCTGTTCCCCTCCTATGATTCTTCAGTCACCAGCTCATCAGCAGTGCCTCTCTCTCTTGTGCTTACAGTGGCGTCTGTCACTGAAAACAGCTGCTTCAACAGAATTTGACAAGCCGACCGTTCACTGGGGAGGTGTCAGTCGTATCTGATCACTGACAGTGCTGCTGCTTAGCTTGGCACTATGTCTTCTGTAGAAAGTAGTTGTAGAGAAAAGACAATAATGTATATGGATTACCCAGAGTAACTAGGAAAGTGCTTCTGGAAAAAGATGTTGCTATTGTGTTTTGTAAATGTCAAGTTTCCGTTGTTGCCACAAACCAAATTCCATTCGGTTGAGCAGAAATGTCTGAAAACCTGGGCAAATAAAACCAGACCTATCATAGCTTAATACTGCTCTGGGTGAGTGAGGAAATAGTCAGGAAATGCAGGTAAACTAACCCTTTAAATCATAATGAAAACTACATGTGCAGGCAGGAATATTTTTGAGATCTGGCATTTATTCAATGTATTTATTTTTGTATGTTTCTAAATTGTGATAAAATAAAATGCAACAACCATCCGACATGATGAAAAGGTTTTTGTTTTTTGTTTTTTTCCGTCAATCAGCTTTTGTTTCTTGTCACTTTCATGAGAAATAAAAATGCACACTGCATTGTTGCTGGTCTATATTGTGATGTATTTTGATCAGAAGCAGTTCAATAAAAATACAGATGTTGGAACTGATTGTACAAATGAATAAAAAAAAAAAAGATCATTTCCGATGACACTCATGCACTTTTACAATACTTAAGTATGAGTGCACTTACATTTACATTCTAATATGCTGATGTCTTTTGCATGACAAATATTTTCTAGCAAAGTAAAAGCACACTACTACACTGTGATATGCCAAAATGAGCAATTCATTGTCATTGTTACATACTATAACTGATCTCACAGTTTTACAGGAGTGAGGTCAAGATGGGACTGCATGCCCTGGTTCTGTACATGAATGCTGATGTTGGTATAATGCTTGTGGTGTTATTTACTATTAGTGTTCTTAATGTCAGTACATGGTTTCTATTAGTGTATTTTCCTAATGGTACATATCTACAGTTAGCATCAATTTTACATCCCTCAAGTATTAAACATTATCTTTTTGGTCTCCTAGTAGGCCTATATGGAGTGTTCAGAGAGGAGTGAAATGAGAGGTAAGAGTTGGCAATCTCAAGCTTTCCCCTCCTTTTTCTTTCAACTGCAGGTATCAAGCAACATTTTCAAGTATTTTTAGAGACACATCCAACAAATGAATAAATAAATAAATACAATTTATCATACATTTTACATTAGATACAGTACATTCCCTTGAGTAAATACCATATTTACACATGCTATCAGGGACTGGATGTGAGACAGCCTTTTTGCTACAGTTGCACAATCCGGATCAGTCTTTAGTGTGAAATACAGTCATCGATTCACTTTCCCAGAGCCTTTGCCCTCGTAGAGCAGGCCCCTCCCCCTGGAGCTGTGGCCCCACTGGCCCTGCCCACCGGGGCCGTCTTGTGGATGAGCCTGCCGAGGAGGAGGGGACCTGGAGAAGCTAGAAGGAGAGCGGCTGCGTCCCTGTAGTGCGCTGCCATCGCGGAGCTCTTGGCGGGAGGGGGAGGAGCTTTGGGAGCGCTGCAGGGTGGAGGAGGAGCTGCGAGGAGGAGGGCTGAAGAGCATCCCGCTGCGGTCCTGCATGAGCTGGGTCAGACTGGCAAGGAAGTCTGCATCACTAGTGCTGCTGGCACGCACTCTTAGCCGCCGCCGTCTGGAGAAAAGAACAGAAGACAGTATGATTACAATGCTCACTGTAAAATGATCCATCTTCCATCCTCCAATACAGAAACATTAAAATTATCTTTAAAATAGTCCTAAAGTTAAACTCTTGATTTTTTCAGCAATAGCCAGTCAATGTATTTAGATTCTTTAATTACGTCTCTGTGTAGTACTTTTCATTGTTACTGGTGCCTTCTCTCATTGCTGTTCACTCTTCTGCAGCCTTATCAGAGCTGTAGTAAGTCATTGTTAATTTAAATCAAATATTTCTTGCTGCTGCTAGTTCACATTAAAAGCATTCAGCTGGCTAATATTGTGAAGTAGTCACAGGAAATGCAATGTATTTGGATTGACCCACTGACTTCTTTGTTAAGATTTAAGTTTGTTTGGCTGCACTGTAAACTGTGTTATTATTATATTATGACAAAATAGCTGCTGAAGCGTTTGCTGCAGTGTTAAACTGCACTTAAGTTACCACCAGTAACAATGGTTGAAATCAAAATCTAAAGGATTATAACTTAAAGCATCCACCATCTAATAAAAACTGTCAAATGCACTTAGCAAACTTCTGTTCAAAAATCTGTATTGTGTTATAAACACTTTGACATAGCTCCTACCTGTTGTCCACACAGGGGCGGATGGGCGGTTTCCCAGGGGGTGGCCGAGGCAGAAACCTGCTTGTGAGCTGCTCGGGTACAAAGGTGGCACTCACAGGACGTGGGATCTTACTTTTGCTACCTGATGAGGAGGACAGAGAGAGGGGGTCTTCTCCTACACAGTCGGACCTGGAGCCTCGCTCTGAGGGGAGCCTGTCTCTCGGCAGAGCGCAGGGCAGGTTGTCACAGGACAGAGATGGAGAGGGCGAGTGGGTGGGGGAGCCGGGGACCGGACTGCTCCACCGATGACGCCTCTCCATGTTGAGGTCCCTGCTCGGAGAGTCCAGGGGAGCGCTGGGGTCTCGTACTGGGATTCGGCTCAGTCTTGGCGACGAGGGAGAGTCTCTTCGCCTGAGCAAAGCCGGAGGTGGAGAGGAGGAGACGGTGACGGTGCTCTCCATGGCGCCTCCTGCAATGTCAGCTTGGGGCTGCTGATTCGGCTCTGAGGAGCGATCAGGCAGACCAGAATCACTCTCTGGGTCTCTGTCGTTGGTCAGATGAGTTGTGGGGCCTTTGGCTGGGCTTGGCACTGGAGCTAACTCCAACCTCCCTCCATCCTTTAAGATTTCCTCTGGGAGTCCGTCAGATTTAGCGGATGGGGCTTCTAGTGGTATTGCATCTCTCTTCTCCTGTACAGGCGACTGTGGCGCACAGCTGGAGGACTGAGAAGAGTTTGATGACTGTTAGGGTTGTTGAAGAAATTATAAATAACGTGATATTACCAACTAACAGGGATAAAAAAAGAGATGTGTAACACAAGATCTGAAATATTACGGAAGTGGTATCTAGTCAAATGAAACTGTATCCTATTTCTATCTAAAACTTTGTAAAATGTATCAATTTACAAGAGGATGTTTAAACATTCAAATAACACACATAGGTATTCAGTACATCAAAGTCGTAGAGATGCTCAGAAACATGAAAAGTGATGACATATGCAAAACCCATTGTACTGAGTACAGTGTTGTACTTCAGCTCATATCCATATGTCAATGACAACTGTTCGTGTAAATGTACATTTCTTATTCATAAGACACTACACGAGTGACGTCCTTTATATACTGTATATTTTATATTCTTAATCATACACTTTAATTTATAACTTTGTCTTTGATTTTTCTGTTCTTAAATTTAAAGCCTTTCAACACGAATTTAATTTAGTAAATTCCTGTGGCCATAGAGATGATGAAAAACTTGGAACTCAATCTGCTGATGAGGATCTTGTAATATGGTCAAAACCTCCAGAACAAGCAAGACCTCAGTTGAGATTGATTAGTCAAATGATGTGCATCCAAATTCAAAGCATGTGCTGCTCTCAGTTCATGTACAACGAAATACATAGTCACCCCTACCTGGTCCATCTGAGGTCTTCCCATGATGACCGAGGGCATTTGTCCCAGCATGCCCGGTATCCTCCTGTGGCCCAGTAACCACGTGCCAGGCATGGCCATCTGAGACAGGACGGGGCTGCTCGGCACTGCAGTCGACTGGCCATCCTGCTGCTCAGAGGAGTGGTTCTCAGCCTCTGCAGGTGTGTGGGTACCTGGCTTGTCCTCGTGCAGAGCTTCTGCTGGAGGTTTGCTTCCTCCAGAACCACTGCCTTGCTCCAGCTCCAGCATCACCCACTCCTGAGAGTCTCCCTCTTGAGGCACAGGACTGAGGTTTACAGCCACAAAGCCACTGCTCGCTGCCCCCTCTTCTTGGTCAGGGGTAGCTGTGCCAGAGTGGTCCTCGATGCAAGGAGGTGTCTGCTGCCCCTGCCCCCTCTCAGTAATGGATTTCTCTCCCACCTGAGAAAGGACTGGACGCTGTTTGCCCAAGCTGAAACAATAAA